AATTTATTTGCATTTAAAAAAATTTCATATTCCTGTTGGTTTTTAGGCGTGTTTTTAGTTTGGGTCGTTGGCCCCTGTTTCATTACCCTGTTGGGGCCTTAGATTACCCTGTTGGGGCCTTGTAATTTGTTCCTTTTGCACTTTTGTGCTATTCTATATTACCTCTATCGTTCCGAAAAAAAAATTCAAATTATATAGGATCAAAGTTGACATAAAATATATTAACAATACACATCTACTTTTATAACTTGGTTCTTATAATCGGTTCGGTATTGTATGGGACAGTTCGGTTCGATTTTCGGGACAGATATTTGTAAAATCTACAGAACCGTATGAATTATTCTTTCGATTCAGTTTGGTTCGGTTCGGAGAAAATCAATCGGTCAACGGTTTTTTTTGGTTCAAACTGATTTTGGTTCGGTTTCGGAACAGCTCGAAATTCTCCGAATCTCATGCTCAGCCCTAGCTGCATGAATTCTTTTGTTTATTTATGTTAGATTCAGGAGTGATTTTCTTTCATTGTGGTTTTGACGCTCTCATAAAAAACATTCGTACTCGTTGAAGTCAATATATTTATAGTATTGCAAAATCCTTAATTAATTTTGTGAAACGTTTGCTTTATTCAACACTTAAAAATGTTTTAGCCTAACATATGGTCAAACTTCATGATTGTATGATCATTATAAGGTACTTCTACTAACGGTTCATAATATCTATGTGAAATAACTAATTGTGTCATAAAAATTCTTGATATTTTTAATCATTATATAAACTACTACACTAATCTCTCTCTCTCTCTCTCTCTCTCTCTCTCTCTTGTGTGTGTGTGTGTGTATGTGCATATTAACAAATTAATTGGTACGCACCCCATTGGGGTGGAAACAAATTTCATCCTCCAAATAAAAGTTAACATTCCAAAATTATGTATTTTTTCGGGGAAACTAAATTAATTTTTTTTTTTTAAACCATCACACCTTACATGAAAGTACATGCTCTAAAGTAATTGTGTATATGATCGAGCAAATACACAATTAATATTGTAAATATTCCTATAAAAACTCGACATCTTATTCAAACATTCAAAAAGGTTTTGATCAGAATCAAACATTCCTGTTTCAGTGTTATTTATTTGGAAGATAGACGAACTACATAACCTATTATTTGCAAATCATTAAACATTTTGGTTGTTGCATTGATTTTAGTGTTATTTATCATAATACATTTCACATTCATTCTGATTTGCAATATTTATATGTCTAATTACTTATTTAATGCATTTATTGTCCAACTTTTTACATCAT